ATAACCTAATATCATAATTAAAGTGTCATGAGATAGAATACACATTAAAACATTATGTCCTAATATCATACATGGATAAGGGAAATTAGAAAATACATTGTAGAATATAGGTAAGTAAGGTAAAATAACTATAGTTCTTGAATGGAACGTCATTTTTTACATGCTTCATCCCAAGACATTTTTGTAAATGTAAGACGACCATTAGCAAAAATCTTTGTAATAGTTTCAGAAGACTCAGTAGGCGTAGAGGATGGGTTTGACGCGCTTTCTGATCGGTAACGATTTGGGCAAACTTTTGCAGTATAACCCTCACGGTTACACAGTTGACAAGTTACTTTATATCGTTGCGGACATATAGTAGCAACATGTCCAGAAATATCACATATTTGGCAAACAATGTTGTCTTCATTTTTAGGCAATGGAATGTCTTGGGGGATTGCAATATGATTCCTTGATGTTGTCAACTTCTTCCTTGGAGGACTCCGAGATGGATAATCCCATAATGATTCAGAAGTATCCTCAACAATTCCTATGTAAATTAACATAAAATTAATATGTTAGTAAATGGTATGCATCAACATGAAATAAAAAATTATGAGAGGGAAAAGGAAAAAAAAAATTATACCATCATATTGGCTGTTAATGTATGGTTGACTGTTCATTTGGCTGTCAAAATAGGGTTGACTGTCCATTTGGCTGTCAAAGTAGGATTGACTGTCCATTTGACTGTCAAAGTTTGGTTGAGTGTCCATTTGGCTGTCAAAGTAAAATTGACTATCCATTTTACTCTCAAAGTAATCTTAACTGTTCATTTTGCTTTAAAAATAATCTTAACTATCTATTTAGCACATAATAACTTTATAATCAATTAATTAATTAAATTAATCATAGTTTACTTAGTAATTAAATATGTAATTATGATTTAATTAATCAATCAACTATAATCATTATAATTAATTATGAATTAACTAACAATGTAATTAATTATAATTTACTCCACAATTAAAGCATATAATTATAATTCTCTACTCAATCAATTAAATAATTAAAAAATCAATATTTATCAATCAAGTAAATATTCTTTTCATAATTTTATAATGTATTTGATATATAAAAATTCAATATAAATATCATTTTAGTTCAATAATAATGCACATCTCAATTAATCTCAATATCAATTTCTTAATCAAGCTAATTTGAAATAAATAATAAATTGACAACCATAAAAACTCAACATAAATATCACTCTACTTCAATAACCATAGATATTTAAATATCAATTTCAATATCAATCTCAACCTTAACCTCAAACACAATAATTCAAAATTTCTAACTTTGTATAT